ACACACTGTGTGGCCCAAGTACATTTTAAGAAGCTCTATGGACCTAGTGCACTGCTAGTTTGCCTGGTGTTTCGGATTCGTTAAGGTACTCACTTATCTCACAAATAAAGTGACTTATAGTGTTTATTACCCATATTTCAACTGGTGCTTTGTTCCCAACGATAGAAAATTTATGTGAAAGATGTTATGATGTATGTTAGACTTACTGCTTTGTATTTTGACAAGCCAATTTTGACTTTTTAGTTTATAATAGGGCAAACCAGTGATACCTAATACTGCATTTGAAAATGTAGTAATCGGTTTACGAGCCTGAGGCAAAGTGTGACATTAAGTTTGGCCCTTATTTTTGAGAGAACTTCCTATCCTAAGGTGTCATGTCTTGTAAATTAATTAATAACAGCCCATTCCTAGTCGTCTTCATAAAATATACCTTTATTCCTTCTATGTTTCCAGGTTTACGCATCTTAAGCCGACTGGCCATCGTAGGAGATGCACAGCATGATGTACCTAAATGTGACCTGGTGTTCATGCTTGATCGATCGTTTTCAGTTAGACTGTGTCCAGTAAGACTAATGAGGTCAGCAAAATGTCGGAGACTTGTAACAGCTTAGGTTGGTTGGTTGTTTTGGTGATGTATTTACAACTGCGATCTATTTCTCTTTCAGTCCTTTATTAATGATTCACCAAGTAGTCTTAATTCCCGGTCTCTGTTACATACGAATGATTTCAAGGTTTCAGAGGACAGACAAGGTTGCACAGGTATATCAACTCTTCAAGGTGACTTGGAAAGTAAATGAAGAATTCCAGTGGCGAGTAGTAGTAATACAATGACCATTTATCTGCGGCTACAACTTTATGCGATACTCTATTTCTTCCCTTATAAATTCTGTGGCGAATACAACCATCTTTATTATCTGAAAAACGTTGAGTATCCTAAATCCCAAACTATTTATAACCGTTTTTGGTGCCTAATCAAGATTCTGTCATCAAAATTTACCTATGTATTTATCCCCAAGATATCGCTTTCTTTGTAAGACCCATGTGATACTTGAAATTAGGTAATCACTTACTTTTTCTCAGGCTACAGAATGTCCTGGTGGGGTCCCTAAGGGGTCAGTGCTGAGACCTCTTCTTCCCTTAGTTTACGGGAATGACCTTCTTCAGAAACTATTATTTGATTTATTAGTTTTTTTAACGATGCGAAACTCTGGAGAAAAGTTTGCAGTTAAGAAGGATGTCACTAAACTTCAAAGTTGAGCCAATAACAACGAACGTGTTTTCGACACTTCAAAGTGTAGTATAGTCCATCTGAGACCTGATGCAGACTATCCAAACAGCTTAAGTAACTCCATCCTAAAGATATCCCAATTTGAAATATCTATAAATCTTGGTACCCTGTGATCTGAAATCTTACTCTGAGATAAAAAAATACCTATTCAGAGAACCTTGAACTGGTATCGTTGAGACGCATTTTTCGTCAGTTTAACGGCAGAGTTCACTATTCACCCTTCGACAGTTTTATTTGTCTTCATTTAGAGTATGGAGGTATAGCGTTTTCTTCCTTATTTCAAAAAGATAAGAATAGATTGGAACGCATCAAATGGCAATCCACGAAATTAATTTGGAAACTCGAATTCGAATCATATTAAGGGCGCTTCAGATCAATTAGTTTCGGCCCACTAGAGTATATGCATCTCAGAAATGAACTTCCAGTGACTTATAGCACCCTAAAGATTCCTCGGCATCCCCTTAAATGTAAACTTAAGCTCTGCCTCAACCCGAAACTTAGGGGTAACACCGCGGAAACTAGAGGCGACATAACAGAATCGGTTGTAGGCACACCTTCTACGCTATACAGGTAGCCAAATCCTGAGATTCGCTGCCAGTTCAAATGGTTGTGGACGGAATAGAAGAAGCTTTCGCTTAACAGGCTTCCGTGTCTAGTAGCAGGGGATCACCAAATCCTCCAGACAGGAACCTAGGTATGTTAACAATAAAAGAGGAAAAAGAAATTGGTAAATCGTAATATGATGCTGTCCCTGGTCCTTAAGAATAGGTCAAGTTGCGTCTTGAAGGACTCCTGGGAAGTCTCTTGGACTAGTTTGGCCGGCAGCCATTTCCAGCATTTGACAACTCTTAAGGAATAAAAATTATGTCTGCATTCCGTCTTGCTACGTTGTACCTCCAGTTTCTGGGTGTAACCTCTTAAGTCAGTGTTCGAACTAAGCTTAAGTAGGTGTTTAAGAGGATGTCCAGAAGTGGTGAGAATACTATAAGTCATTAATAGATTACCTCTAAGACGCCTACACTCTAATGGGTAAAGATCCAGTGAATGGAGGCGTTCTTCGTAAGGTTTAAATTTGAGTCCCCGAACTGATTTCGTGGCTCGCCGTTGGATACGCTCCAAAGTGAGTGAGGGGGAAAGTACTATGTTTCCGTACTCTAAGTGGGGACGGATGAAAATATTAAAGATTATATGGAAAGTTCTTCCGTCGAACTGTCCAAAAATGCGCTTCAACATTACCAGTGCAAGGTTTGCTCGGAAGACATTTTCGTCACAGGTAGCGTAAGACTTTAAATTATGAGGCACCAGGACTCCTAAATCTTTTTCCACTTGAGATACTACCAGGGAGGAGTTTCCCAAGTTATAACTGTAGTCTGCGACATGTCGCAGATGGACTACTTTACACTTTGAAGTGTTAAGAGCAAGTCCATTATTATCTGCCCAACTTTGTAGTCGAGTGAGATCCTCCTGAAATGCCTGTATATCGTCTTGATTGCGTATCTCTCTCCAAAGTTTAACATCATCGGTAAAGAGTAACAATTCTGACGTTACCTGTTGAGGAAGATCATTTATGTAGATCAGGAAGAAAAGAGGTCCTAGTACTGAGCCCTGGGGGACCCCACTAGGACATTCCATAGCCTGAGATAAAGTGAAATTAATTCTAACCTTAAAGTGTCGATTTTTCAGAGATGAAGTGAGCCAATCGATTAGAGGTGGTCTGATACCCAATCGTTTGAGCTTATTGATAAGACATGTATGGTTAACCTTATCAAAAGCTTTTTTGAGAAATCTAGGTAGATTATGTCAACCTTTCCCTTGTGATCAAGAATGCTTATCCATCTGTCCACCACAGTCAGCAGGTTGGTAATACAAGAGTAGCCCTTTCTGAAACCATGCTGTTGGGATGAGAAGAAAATTAAGGAGAGTAAATAGTCATTTACACCATCGCATATCAAGGACTCCATGATTTTTGAGGGTATGGAGAGAAGAGCCACCGGCCGATAACTTGAAGGTTCATTGCGTCGACCTCCTTTGAAAATTGGTGTGATGTGAGCCAACTTCCAATTTTCCGGTTGTTTGCCCCGGGTTAGCGAGTGTGAGAACATCACGCTAAGCGGCATTGCCAGGATTGAGGCTGCCTCCCTCAGTATGGCAGAATGGACCATATCCGGGCCAGGAGAAGTGTCTAGTCTTAAGTGCTGCAAATCCTGGAACACCAAGTCAGCACTTAGGTTCACTTCGGAAAGTCCTATGGAATTGCAGATGAAACTGTCATCAGTAAAGTTGAAATGTCTGAGAGTAATGTTCAGCTAGAGGGTTAGCGGCGTCGCCATCATTGTTGGTCGGGCCGTTAAGACCTACCAGTTGGGAAACTCCAGTTTTGGCTCGACGAAGAGAGGCCGCATAACGGAATAAGCTTTTAGGATTGAAGGCAAATTTGTACGCAAGCTTTGTCTGGTACTGAAGCCTATCTTCTCTTATAGCCTTCATGCATATGTTCCTTATATGATTATATTGCCTGTACGCTCCGTCGTTGTCAGTTCGTTTGTATTCCGCCCAACAGTGCCTTTTGCGGCTCAGCAGGCGAAGGGTACGGTTCTTGATTATTGTAGGTGGCTTGCTGCTTTTGGGAACCGTTTGAGGAACTGAATGCTTTGTAGCATATAAGAGCGTGTGCAGTAAGAAGTCCCAATGACCGTCCACATCGAGTTGAGGGTGAACATCCCAATCCACCTGTTGTAGATAGTCGTGTAGAGCTGGCACATTCAACCGTTTAAAGTTCAAACGGAAGTTATTGGTGGGATAGCTTAGCTTAGTTGTGCTGACAAAACTGAAGGCTATGACGGCATAATCGCTTTTTCCCAGGGGAGCCAGGATTGAGAGGTTGTCAACTAGGAATTCTTCGTTTGTGAATACACAGTCTAAGCGCGATGGTGTCTGACTGTTTCTCCAACGAGTTGCCGACCTCACATTTTCGTATAATCCCAAGTCGTCGATGAGGCTGAAGAACCGAGCTTCAATTGAGTTATCGCCTCCAATATGGCTTAGTCCAATCGACTTTCCAGGAGTCCTTCAAAAGAAAATGTGACACGTTCTTCTGAACTTATTACAGTGGTTAACTGCAGGTTTCTACTAGTTCTCTTTTGATTATTAGATATACCTAGGCTCGTACCTTAAGACATTGGTTATCCATGCTATTAGATGAGACAGCCCGTTGAGAGAAAGTTATCATTCCGCCGACAAACAATTGGACAAGAAGATAGTATCTGTAAAGTAGACATAAAAGGTCTCCAATCACATGCATCATATTGCTCATAATTACATTGATTCTAATTCATTATCACGATATGAAGCACCGAATTGCACCCAAGAAATCATCCCCAACTCATGGAACACGAATTAGCAAATCGAAATGTACGTAGTGTTTTCACTGCTGAAAACTATAGATTGTGTAATTCTCTACCAAAAGCGATGGTGTTATTTCTTACCACTGGCAATTTCAAAAGACTGTTTTATAGCTAGTTTTATTCCAACGGTACTTTGGGTGATTAGGTATTCTTCCTTGATCACTCCTGTTATTAACTATTGTTTTCATCGGATTTACAAAGGCTTCAAAATAGGGATATTTAGACAATTCTAAATCGGATTTCAAGATACAAATATTTCCCTACTTCTGTACTTATGAGTTTTGAAACACGCGGTTTACCTCAAGGTTGACTTGCTTGCGTATTTTCAAACAGTCACAAGTTCAAATCCAGCTTCATATACCGGGATTTAATACCTGGATAGTGGTGTCGGTCTACACTCAATATATGTGACTATCGCCCCAATACATTGAATTCCCAGTGGTTGAAAAACCTCATTTCCCTCCTTCTTGCTAACAAATCGTTTAGATAATTAAATGGATAGTTCGAAACAAAATAGTATAGTAATAGATGTCAAGTTTACTTTTCCCAAAACTCAGGCTAAAATAGGAGTTCCTACAAATTTCTTCTTGATAGTAGCAGTTTTAGGATGTGGAATTTTCCTCGGCGTACGTATGAGAGTACGCTAGGTTAAATTTCGCGTAATGACTGTTTCTGTTAGAATATATTAGGTTACACTAATTTGAGATTCCAGTACCTCTCAAGACGGTCTTTTTGGAGTTTGACCTACAATGGGTTACTTTGACGAAGATTTCCCCGCGACATTTTTAAGATATGAAGATTCAGTAATCCCTAAAACAAGCTTGAATTTTGGAGCTTTTGTTTCGTATTGCAGCTTCTCCAATGTTGGGAGATTAGATTTACTTAAAGTAATCGATATAATAGCATTTCTATTCGTTACTGTCCAATGTCATAAATCTCATGGGTTAGGTAAATTAGATGGGTCTTTAGATTGTCTGAAAAGTGTATGAGAATAAAGGTGTGGTTTTTAAAGGATGAACGAAGATCATCGCAAACTCGGATAGAGTGTGGTTCAAGATAATGAAGTAACAATAGGTTGATATTAAGGTAACTTCCTGCCATTCTAAAAGTTTTCAAGATGAACGTGATGGTCCTCTTGCTGAAGTTCTTCATAAATAATTTTCTGTACTGTAGATGTTTATACTGATATTTAGAAACAATCTGGGTTAGTGAAAGTAGATATTCTTAACAACCCTCGCGCCCCCATTCTAACCAGAGTTATGGATAGCGAAGCCCTTGAGATAATCGAGATTAAACGTAAATCCTTCGGAAATTTGGGTCCAAGTCTATGCTGTAAAATAGATATTTCACTTAACCAGTCAGCTGTACTGGCGCTGCTGGCCACTCTTGAAATTTAGTTCTAAAAGTAAATGGTTATGACTGACCACGTTTATGGTCTAGTTGTATATTTATATTCACCAATCCAATTCATATCTGATTCGCATCCCGTCCTGAATACCTACCTATATTTCTGTACAGTAGGTTTATTGTCTTTTCTAGCGGATTTGGTCCAAAGATGACTCACTGAAAAACTCCAAATTGCTGCGCACTAATGTCTGTTGGTATCGTTTATGGTGATCAGTATAGACGGCTGTGTTGTAGCTCACCTAAGTTTGGCGACAGATACGCCTTGGTCATGGATTTAATCAATGCATACAAACTCATTCCAGAACTTTCTCGTGTGCCTCCCTTACAGTGGGATTCACCTAATCGCATGTATGAAGCAGTGACTACCTTTCACTCGTAAGTATTTCCGTAGATTATTTAAGTGAGTTAGTTTACTGTTCAATCACTTTAATGAGTAAAACAAATCGAATTCAGTACTCCTATTGTAATCACTTAACCATTTTCCTTTGTTATCTACATCTGTATTTAAAACAAGTAATTGCTAGTTAGCTTCTATGTACATTACAAATGTTCTTGAATTAAAAGTATCTTGTGTGTTTTAGAACCAGTTTGTATCTACATTGATGTAGTTAAATTTATCTGCAGCGGCAACTCAGTCGAACTACGATAATATGTTGCTATACTGAGATAAATTGGAAAATGTTGGAACTGAAAGCAGTTACTGTTGTGGTGCGAAGAACTAATTTAATGAGATCGGAGTTCGCCCCATTTATCAAGGGCACCGTATCTAGTACATGGCAAAAACTTGTAGAATACGACGAGGCCAAGTATGTGTACATAAAAATTTTAATCCCTTGAATTTTTTGGGTCCAAATTACCGTGAATATAGTTCTGGCAGTAACCCTTTGCTTAGTTCATAGTTTAGCTTTTCACAATAATGGACTTAAGTCTTTATTGAATTGTTCGGTGGAGAGCGAAACATTCTGAATACTCTTTCCACTACCGACCAATAAAAGTTAAAAACAGACCATAAGAAGACCTATTTAAAATCCCCAGCAGTCAGCTTACCGTAATGTAGAGATAATCCAGTTATCACAACGTTAATCTTAGGGAACTAATAGGATTTCTTAAGTCGGAATCTAAATGTACTATATTTGAAATATTAGATTTTATTTTCATACAAATTCTACATGTCTTCGTAGACCCACATAATTCTTTATTGTTCTTGATATCAATTTTATTTTCTATTTTTCTTCAGTAAAGAATATGTTGATGCTCTTAAAAAATTACAAATGCTACACATTGAGGAGAAAGAATTGACTGCTGATGACGAGTTACTTATGGATTCATTTAGTCTGAATTATGACTGCCCTGGTTTTCCTAGTGTTTTTGATTATTCGTTAGCTGCTGTTCAAGGTAGTTTAGCTGCAGCTAATGCTTTAATCTGTCGTCATTGTGAGGTAAAACTCTTTACACTATTTATCTTTAGGGCAAAAGTATCAATTGAGTATTATAATACTTTTGTCGTTCCTACTTCTTACTGAACACAACGTTGCGTTACTATTATTGTTGTTTCTGTTCCTCTGATTTAACTAATAACTTAAGTGAAATACTTTTTTAAAAATTTCAAAGTGGATTCTAATCGCAGAAAAAATTCTCATAAAAAAAAACAGCAATCACTGTTAAAAAATACTTTTTAAGAAAAATTGTTAGCTATTTATGGGTAATAAAGCGATTTATTCCTTCCCCTTCGAGTAAGATCGACTTTACTACAAATACATATTCTCGCAAAGCCGAAAAGTAGTCGTTTCTATTTTGTAATGAGAGTTTAAAGTAAAAATTGTGATTCATAAAAAAGTATTTTCAATACCTTTTTAAATAATAAAAGAACACCAAAAGTCTATTACATAATACAATAATCTGAGTCTCAATTTTCGTCTACTAACAGAAAACTTTCTAATGTAATAAAGTATACATCTTCATATATTTGTAAGTTGGTTTAACCCTTTGTTTTGCTTCTTGCTACTGTAAAGTACATTTTGGTTTCTTTAGTATTGCAAAACCCAAGCTATATCAAAGCTTTATTACGAACTACTGAAATTCGTTTTAACAACTAATTAGGTGTTTCATAAATTAGAAAGTGCGATATTTTACATACTCCTGATCACTCCGTCATGTGGCATAACTTCCCTAAACTCTTCTGTAGTTTCTTATAAGCTCGATTCCTAAGACAATCATGTTAACAAAGACTTTGTCCTAGAAATCAAGTTTGAATTGGGCTCTAAAAATAAAGAAAGTAAACCAGTGAAAATCGCATAAATGGTTTTGGGAATGTATATTTAAGGTCCTTTGAAATTATGGTGTAGCTTTTAGAGCGCTTGACTCGCAAGCAGTAACCATCTGCGTATGTTTATTATGATTGGTTGAGGTTGCAGGTTCACACTTCACCATACTTCGTTTGGATAACCACCCAACCTCACACAAAATGTATGGTTTAATGCCGATTATATAAATTTATTTGGTGAGTTCCATTTTATTATTACTTGTGTAGCCATTTCATTATACCCATTAATTACTTATCGTATTACTAGTATACATTTCACCCCACTGGTCTTTTTAAAATCGTTATTTTTATCCCCAACTTTAGGTCGTTATCAACTGGGGCGGTGGGTGGCATCATGCCAAAAGAAGTGAAGCTTCTGGATTTTGCTATTTAAATGATGCCGTTTTGGCCGTCCATCGACTGGTTTCATCAACTCCATCAGAAATTTCACCCAACAGACAGACACGAGTATTGTATGTTGACCTTGATCTTCATCATGGTGATGGAGTAGAAGAAGCTTTCTGGTATAGTCCTCGTGTAGTTACGTTTTCCGTACATCATGCCTCTCCTGGTTTCTTTCCCGGTACAGGAACCTGGAATATGGTCGATAATGATAAACTACCGATTTTCTTAAATGGCGCTGGTCGTGGCAGATTCTCAGCATTCAATTTGCCATTAGGTAGTTTTGTATTTCATTCAGAAGCTTTCTTACTCCCTTTACACCTTCATTTCTCAGTAGTTATTTAATAACATATGTGTCGAAGGCACAAAATAGTCACCATGTTGGGAAACAACAAGTTCATCTCAGTTTACAAATCTATGTCAAAAACAGTGTTTAAGAGTTGATGTCATCCAGTTGGTCAACATAAGTTTAATGGAATGACGTTTGCTCTAGTAGTATAGTAGTTGAGAATGTAGTGTAGATTACTCAACATTAGCTTATATATATATATATATATATATATATATATATATATATATATATATGCGTTCGTGTTTGATCTGTATTTACTTTAATGTCTGTTAATTTGTTGTATTTAACTGAAAATTTAATAATAATTTTTATAACATTTACCACTGGTAAATAATAGTTACTTTCAATCGATTGGTTACTGAGTAATGACTAATATTACACTTTTCTAGTTCTTCATCCTGTATGTTTTCTTGTTCCCCTTTTCTTTTAACATTTTTTAAACCAGTTGCTAACGTAATGTCTAATTATTCATTCTTAAAGTGAGCAATCACCCACTTGTATTACTGTTTCTTTCGTTAAACAACTGTCTGAATATGAACAACAATTTACTTTACTTTTTCAGTTTAAAATAAACTGAATAAAACTAATAATATTTTGGTTCTGCTAAAAAATGAAGATCTTTATAATTGATAATAAACAATATCGAATTAAACTAATTATCATCACTTTGAAAAAACTTTTTATTATATCGCAAAAATACATTAACAGAATTTGCTACATACTTTGTATATTTAACACAAAAATAATGCCGAGTGCTGACTTGTATGTTCATAGTATAAGAGTTTAGTTACCATAGTTTTAGAATTTTCTAGTATTCATTTTCTTTTAAAAAATTAATTTCTAACCAAGCCCTTTTCTCACTCAAACTAACCACTTCTTACTGAGATTGGTATGTTAAAATAAAAATATGTATCTTTATTAACAGGTCTGTGGTAAGTGTGAATAGCATGATAAAAGTGTTGGATCCTAAACTGGTATTACATTTTAACAATATGTTAGACATTATGAATTGTTTCATCACTATGTCATGTGTCTTTCTTGATGCTATTATTCAATAAAATACGAAGTAGCCCACCGGTGACATTGAAGAAATAAGAAATTTTAGGTCCCGACTCAATTGTCGTACCCGTTACTGGCCTCTTTTAAGTTCGAACAGCTCAATGATAACGTTGTATACTGTAAAGCCGGTTGACCCTGGTTCGAATCCTCTAGTCAGCATCAACTCCCTTGATATTAAAAGCGTACCTTGCTGGTGAGTGCCAAATAGCGCTAAACCTATGTCCAGGGTTTCCTGTCGACTACCTCGGACCACCGAACATCTCATAATGGTTACTCATCTCATCACTGCTATTTCCACTTCGTAGGGAAACAATATGGTAATATTTTATGATGAAAGTTAAATTTCTATACAACATAAATTTCGTAGAAAACCGTAAAAGGAGATTCTGATGTGTTGTTACAAGTGTGAGTCATTTAAAAAATATATCTTTGTTTTTTTGGACATATTTCATACTAGGTTTGGTGATGATTTTCCGAACAGAAGTATTTTAGTTAGAGTTCTGAGTCTCTCTTTTGACTTTTAGTAGTACCATTAGCCATAATATAAAACACGACCTTAGTGATTAAGTTGTAAACAGTGGTGAATACTGTTACCGCCATAAGGTTTTTTGGCATTTCACTGCTTGGGTATGGGTAAATTTTAAGTTCTTGGAGTTGAACATTATGTAACTTAATAAATTGAGTTCTTTTTAGGGAAATAATTGAATAAAATTTTGTCAAAAGCTATTTATCTCTATATATGTTTACTTATTTATTTCTGCTTACAGAAGAAGGTATCAATGATTTGGACTGGTCAAATGCTATTGGCCCTATACTTGATTCTCTTAACATGGTTATTCAACCAAGTTATGTTGTAGTTCAATGTGGAGCCGATTGTTTAGCTACTGATCCACATCGAATATTTCATTTAACTAATTTTTATCCTAGTTTCAATTCAGATTGCGACCCAGAATGTAGTTTAAGTGGCTATTTGTACGCTATTAAGAAAATTTTATCATGGAAAGTTCCAACTTTGATACTTGGAGGTGGTGGCTATAATTTTCCGGATACAGCCAGGCTATGGACAAGAGTTACAGCTCTGACAATTGAAGAAGTTAAGGGTAGAAAGTATGTTGCTTTCAATTTTTTTTAGTTCTTGATCTATTTTTTAGTGCTAATATGTTGTCTCGTTTTAGAGAATTCATGAATAATTCACTAGGTTCATCATCGAAGACTTGGTTCCAACTAATCTGTCATCTTGATTCTTTAATCTGTAGAATTTTGTAAATGTATGATTAGTTTGGTATGTTCAAATTCAGTTGTTTTTTGAACTTGATGTTTCATTATCAAGGTGCGTGCTATCACCAATGTGACTTAACAGGATAGTGAAGTAACTTGACTTCTCACCGATATTCTTTATCAAAATGTCTATCTTATTGTTGTGTGTGGCTAGCGAACTATTGAGTTTCTTGTGACACGTAATCATAATCTAGAGGATACAACTGATATTTATTAGTCTCAATTAGGAAGCTTAAAATTACGTATGCACTTTAATACACTTGTACGAAGCAGTGCTTATCGTTGACATGGGATTTATTCAATTTCTTACTGTCCTTATTGTAAAGATTTAAAGCTTGGATTTCAAATATTTTCACATTTTTGTCGCTTCCCAGTGTTTTATTTATCCTAGTCAAAACCTATGACATCAGTCTAGATGCCTACTTTCATACGACAACCTTATAATGTAGCCTTTTTTCAAGGAAGACTATGTATAAATTAGTGGGGTCAGTCAGTCAGCTACAACGTAGGATCAGGCACATATATGCGTCGGTCCAAGTTGCCATCCCCATTAACACAACACGATAGACACCAGATTCATATAAGTAGTTAATTCAGAGGTGGTAATATATAAAAGAAAGATTGCAATAAGGATATAGTACAGGAAGAAAGAATTAGTTAGTACAAAGAAAGATATGAAGCGATTTTAATCTCTTAGTTTAAGGGAAGACAGAGAGTGTATACACCGACGCCATTGTGATCGATTCTGAGCCATGTCACCAAGAGTCTCCAACCATTGGTTACGACAGTCATGCGGACCCAAACCAAGTAGTCTGCATCTACCAACATGGCTCAGACTAGAAGTTAGTGACTTCAAGCACTGATGCCACGTTTTGGTTTGGCAGCCCCTAACTTTCTTCCAACCATCTCCAATACCGGATAGCATTGCACGTCGTGGTAATCGGTATTCAGGCATACGTAACACGTGGCCCAACCATCTCAGTCGATGAAGATTCATAACCTCATCAACTGATTTACCATCATTCCCTAATACCCTGCGTCTAACCTCACTATTACTTACCCGGTGATCCCAGCAGACGCCAGCAATATTTCTAAGGCATCTGTGGTCAAATACTAATAGCTTACGAGTGTCTTCTACTCTTAATGGCCATGTTTCGCTGCCGTAAATTAAAACAGAACGGACTGCCGCGCAGTATACTCGTCCTTTTATTGATAGACGGATATCTCGCCTTCGCCATAGGTGACGTAAGTTGGCAAAAGCCAAGCGAGCTTTTCGAATGCGTGCTGGGATTTCGTCCGATACCAACCCATTAGGGCTGATCAGACTTCCAAGATAAGTGAAGTTGTCAATGCGTTCGACTACTTCACTCCCTATCCTTAGTTCAGGTGTTGACGCAGACCAGTCCTGAAGCAACAACTTGCATTTAGAGGGAGAGAAGCGCATTCCAAACATTCTGGCATTGTTGCTTAGTGCTACCAGAAGACTCTGCGTTTTATCAGCGTCTTCACCAAACAGGACTATATCATCTGCGTATTCTAAGTCGATAAGTGGACCTCTTGGAAGGAGATCAATACCCGAGAATTCAGTCGACGAGAATGTTATTTCCATCAATAGGTCTATGATGAAGTTAAACAAAAATGGAGAAAGTGGACAGCCTTGACGGACACCACTTGAGGTTGCAAAAGCAGATGACAGTTCGCCATAAGCTCTGACTCGACTGGTAGTGTTCGAGTAAAGAGCCTTCACAAGGTTTACGTACCTCTGGGGTACGCCTTTCAATGACAGACTGCCACAGAATCTCGCGGTCTACCGAGTCAAATGCTGCTTTTAAGTCAAGAAAGACCACCAATGTCGGACGCCGATAAGTATGCTATGTTCTAGAACCTGACGAATGGTGAATATGTGGTCTATGCATCCATGACCAGGTCTGAAGCCAGACTGATTTTCTCGTGTTTGCAGTTCATGAGTCTTAGTTAAGCGTCTGATAATTATCGAGGCTAGTATTTCAGATACTATATTAGTTAAACTAATCCCTCTATGGTTGTCACAGGATGATTTTGACCCTCTCTTATATATTGGGACGATAAGTGATTGTGACCAGTCAGATGGAATAACGTCTAACTCCCAAATCTTAGCTAAAATATTAGTCAACCTAATCGCTAAAATTGGACCACCATCCTTAAGGACCTCTGGAGCCAATCCATCTGCCCTTCCTCGTTTCAGATTAACTATAGCCTTTTGAACTTCAGCAAGAGTTGAGGGACCTACTTCAATGTTCCATTCACATTGTCTGGGGATGGAGGGTAGTTGTAGAGTCGCTGAAGGCCAGTTGAACTGTTCCCTAAAGTGTTCCGCCCATCGTTCTAAACGTCTCGACTGGGAGTAGATGAGAGTATTGTCTTTTTCCGAAATAGTCTGACTTACACTCGACTTATTAATTCTAGTTTCTTTTATTAGTATGTAAAGCTGTCTTGTGTTCCCTATAGTCGCCGCCTATTACATCTCTTTTGCTCACGGTCGTTCCTTAGACTTTTGCTTAACCTAGATCTGATTTGTTTACGCTCTTCATCGTGTTCGGAACCTGATGGGACGAGTTTGCGAGAATCCATCAGTGTGATAGACTTTGAAGAAATCCACTGGTTCTTTGTAACTGTGTGGTTTAAATCACTGATAGATGTCACTGCTGTTTCCACAGCTGTTTGTATATCTTTCCAAGCAACATCTGCGTCAACCTCGTTTTCAGAACTACCTAATTGTGACCTCAGTTGTTCCTGGAACCTACTTTTGGTTTTCTCGCTACTCAATTCAGTTCTAATGGGTCTTTTTACTGTGGCTTTTTTGTGTCCAGTGAGGCGCAAGCAGATGCGTGCCCGTATTAGGACATGGTCGGAGTCCAAGCAGGTACTCCAGAATGAGCGACAATCTTCTACCGACCCTCTCCAACGATGACTGGTTGCAATATGGTCTATTTGAGTCCATCGTTGGTTTGGTGTAGTGGGTTGCCATGTTAGACGATGTCTCTCCTTATGCTTAAAATTTGTGTTTGCTAAAAATAAACGATTTTCTGAGCACAGTTGCAGCAGACGATCACCATTATCCGTTCGTTGTGCCGGAATACTAAAATACTCACCTAAATGCCTTTCTGTTTGGTTTAAACTACCTATCTGGGCATTAAAGTCACCTGCTACGAGCACTATGTCTGAACGTTTAGCTTTCTGAAGAAGTTCAGATAGCTTTCTGTAAAATTCATCTTTCACTTCATCTGAGCTGCAGTCGGTGGGAGCGTAGGAAGCAACGATAAAAAGGCAACGACGTGTGTCCCTATCCTTCCGAATTCTTACGGAGCCGTTCAGCCGAACAGCATATAAACGACTGTTAACGGGGATCCACTCTAACAGTGCTTGTTCCGCCTTCATGCTTAGTGCTATGCCTACTCCTGCCAGTCCACGAGAGCTGGCCGTCGGATCACCAGATACGCGGAGGGTGTATGTCGTTGGCTCTCCGTGTTCCCGAGGTGAGGTCAAGTGAATGACCACACTGGGATCCTGTATGCGTGTTTCAGAGACACAGCATACATCAATGGAAAGAGACTCTAGGGTTTTAGCCAGGGAAGCCTGCTGACCGATTTGACATAGGGTTCGTACGTTGAAGGCTCCAATGTTTAGTTTGGAGCGAGGTTTCAGTAGACCTGGGACAGTGTTTTGAGCACTAAAATCGTTGGCTATGGTGACACTTGAGGAGGAAGCCGAAAAAGGAAATTTAGAGTTGAAAGTCGATGTAGGAGGAATAATAGGGATTGAAAAGGGAGGTTGATTATGAATACAGTGGTCTTGAGTGCTATTAGAGGTATGAGGGCGGTTATCACTTCCCGGTTGCCCACACCGTGGAAGGGTTATTCTGGAGGTACCTGAAAAGGAAATTGGATTAGAGGTGGTCTTAGTGACCCGAGAGCCCAAGGGACAACTGCTTGAGGTTGGTCACACACGACCTTTTTATGGGTGATTTTTGTGTTAGCTCCCTACATGTTGAGACCTTACCGCCGGAAACGGACATCCGTGGGATAAGGCGAGGTGTTCATTTTTAGGGTCGACCTTTTCTAACCCCACCCCTCCTTGTGGGAAGGCAGCATCGCTGTCATGCTGGTTGTCTGAAGGAAACACCTTACTGCTGTCACACCTCTGTACAGTCAGCAGTACGACTTCGCCTTCGGACCTTGGGTTTGTTGCTTTTAGTCTTACCGCTCTTCAATCGACCTGTCTGACATGGTAGGACCTTGAGGAACGGTTGTTCCAGCCAGTATAGCTCGATTGCTTTATCACGGTAGGCAAGTCCGACCACCACCTCAAGGTAGCAACAACGGTCGGAATTTCTTTTCATTCAAAATACCTGCTATACTGAGGTTGTGGTCTTATTCCAACTTATCAACTTTATGTTAATCTTTAGTTATATTTCATTTTTGAATTTAAGTAAAGCCAAGACCATCGTGAACGGTGTGACTAACAGTTATTGATTATTGCTGTACCTCAAATTTACAAATACTTCTTTTCCGCGTCTGTTTACTACTACAGGATGACACTTCTCCCTGAAATTCCAGAACACTCCTACTTTTCTCGTTATGGTCCGGATTTCGAACTAGACATTGATTATTTTCCACACAAAAGTCATAAAGAAACACTTGACAGTATACAGAAACATCATCGACGTATTCTCGAACAGTTGCGTAATTATGCTGATTTAAATAAAATGACTTATGATTATAACAAAGTGTACCAATTATATAATTTAACTGATATGTAAAGTGCAGCTATGAATTTATCCTCTGTTTACCATGGATTTATTGCTCCAAACTTTTTAGTGATGCAGTTCTACAATTTTATCTCTGTAAATAAAAATACATATATGCTATTATCATTGTTGTGTTTACATTTTGTCCTTAATAGATCTAGAAAAAAATTAAAGATATTTTCATACTACAAACGTAAACATGGCTCACTTTATCATTATGAGGGCAACAATAGTCCATGCAAAATGAAAATAATAAAGGTAGACCTGACTGTGTACTGGATTTTTCTCTTTTCCTGTTTACATCCAAAATGCTTAAAACGAAACAGGCGGAACGTCTACTACTGCAGTGATTATATCAAGCGTAAAGCTAAGAGTGGTAGCTGATTAATTTATATGAACATGTAGTGGCTTTGCTTCGGTAATCAATTACCTTTGTGACTGTTATTGTATAAATCCCAACGGTGTTTGAAATCAGGAGGCAATAAAAGTGGTGACCACGGTTTATTAGTGGATAGCACGGATAATAAAACTACAAACACATCGAGCGAATTCGAAGCAGAGACGAATATGTGCATGTGAGCAAGTACAGAGGCAAATTTATAGTCAAATCGCATAAGGGCACAGCAAGGCAAAGCAAAGGCTAACGATAAGATTCGCGTACATATATACATGGGGAGAGAATGAATCGTCGAGCGATACTTAAACTATCAACATTTTAGCTAGAGTCTGTTATGTGATCAATCGTACACGTTTATAAAGATATGATAGTGATCATAATAGTACAAAGAAATATGCGAGTTGTTACTGTTCGAACAAAATCGGTTGTTTAGTTGGTTAATCTCATTGTGTAAATCTTAATGTTCAAGTAAATTCATTATCAAAAGTCAGAAATATTTCTTTATCTTGATAGCTTCTTATCGACTGATTCCAACTGTCTGAGTATCAAATCGTATGAATATGAGAAACCTCGCCATACTGGTACTAATAACCCTTGAATCGTGCAACATACGTGATTTATCGACCGCTGTAAAGTGGACACTTCCGTCCTGTAAAACGACTATTCCAATTCATTATTTTCGGAACTTAAGATAGTTTCTTGGTTTCGACCACTAAAGAGAAGCTGCTCAGTGTCACCTATTCACCCACAAATTTTGTACGGGAGATCTAATGATACGAAGGTCCTCGATCCAAAGTGAACGTGATAAGATTCGAATATGATGCTTAGTGGTTGAAAGTCAAGTGCTCTAACCATTAATCAAACTTGAGTTAGTCTGAAGATATTCATGTTCTTGATAAGTTACCACTCAATAGTATCAAAGATCTACATACATTTAATTTTGGACAATGTGACATTGATACATGTGAATAGATTAACAAATTACCGTTTATCCCAGTGCGTCATTCGCACCAAAAAATTCGTCAACAACTCCTCTTACATTTTTCCTAGTACTGAATGGGATTTTAAAAATTATAAATAGAAACTGTGTTGTTATGTAACATGCATAAACACAACATTGATGATATCTTATTGCAAATTAGCGGAAACAATCATTGTTAATGAAGTATTTCCAAATCAAGAGTATAACATTTATCAATAGCCTCTACAGTAACAGCATGTGAAATTTAATGAGAAAATGTATACCAACATAGAGTGTTGAAGGGATTGTTAATGAAAATTGGTAACGGCTAGTAGCAAAACCATTACTGATATTTTCCTAATAATTTTACGGCATTACATTCCAAACTATATCAGGAAATTGTCTATTACTATAGTCACTGAAGTTGAAATGCATCTGCATCAAATTACTTATCACATTACCTTGTCTTTAGTTAAAATGGACCATGAAAGTCTATTCTTTGTTAAAGGATAACTGACATCAATAAAACTAACTTAGTAAATATACACCTATTTAATAATATAGAAACCAAGCATTGGTATATGAATATGTAAACTGATCTGACAACTCGTTAAACAGGACTCGTTCACTATAGCTGCTAGTTTTATTACAAATTGATTTTCATCACGAACTAATATCACTTGTAAAACCATATTTAAAAAATCAGAAGTATTACTGATCTCATTGAGTGATTACCGTAAACATCACAGACACTGAATTTAGAAATGCAGTTGTTTTAATTCGGACTCTGATTTGTAAGTATTATGTTCATTTGGTTTCGTATCGTATCAGTGCTTGCTTAAAACTAACTTCTTACGGGACATTTCCCATAAACTTAAAATCTTAATAGTAACTGTACTAATTTAATATATCCTAGATTTCAGATGCTCCAAAAATACGTCTATTGACTTAATAACTAAAGTTCAAATATCGTATTGGTATATGCTACACTATGTTCCTTAGGAATCAAAGTAATTTTTAGAAAACATCTACCAATAATAATAATATCCAGCAAAAACCTTTTTGATCACAGAATCTATCAAATAACTAAATGAAAGGCTAGTAAACGTGACGTCATATAAATATCTATGAGCAATCTAAAGATAGATAACCAACTTCTAGACGTTTCATTACTTCATTTACACCCCAGTATTTGACTATGATTTGAGCTAAGAACTACAGCACAAATCCTTCAATAATTTATATATTATGTAACTAATCGATACGAACGATAGTTCGTTTTCTTCCCTACATATATATAACAATATGACGGATGATTTAAAATCTAAAACGAAAAATACAAAAAACAGTGTTATATGGAAATCTAGTTTGGGACTTTTACCCAACACAAAATAATTGAAAAAGACCGCCTGCATAATTGTTACTTTGAATAGTTTTTTTCCCGAACGTTAGGATGGTTATTTCTAAATAAAACATCGTCGAACGGGATACCCCTAAAATTCAATATAATCGATTATGTTCTCTTTTGGAAATATGTGATTTGCGTTTAACTACTACATAGAGTTTAAGTAGTGTAAACACATAGAAGTAAATTTATCTTCAGTACAACAGACTATCAATGACCTCTGGATTATGTTCCCGTATAGAAATCTAAAAGCTCTTACTTTGACTCATTAATATACTCCAATAATGACAGTACATTAATTTAAATCCACTTAGTCCCTATAAAATTTCGACCATGCTCATACACGGGAATAAAAATATAACTTGTCTAAATTTTTCAATAAAATGAATATTAGCACCAATATGTGTTCTGAAGAGTATAATGACATTTTATAGTACAATACCCATACATATATGTACGCAATTTCCTAACAAGGTTTTACCGAAATTACCTACATTAGTTCATCATTGACTTATATCAGTATAGTAAATCCAATAAAGTAATAAGATAATCCGATCAAAATGATTTATTTTCACGTCTATCAGAATAGTCGGTTAGTCTATTTTAACCGAAAAGTGAGTGTACAATAAACACTTTTCCGTTCTTCGTCAAGGCTCTACAACAATATGTATTTACAAGTTAGGCATAAAGTCATTATCCAATGCAGGTAGGTTAATTCAATATCATCTCTAAGGATTATATTAGAATCATGAAACGGATGCAAAGGAAATTGCATAATTAGATTATTAGGATATTTCATGAGAATAAAATTACGAAAACGAAGTTAAAAAGAAGGGGAAAATATTTTCAAGAACGTAGGAGTAATGAAGTAGAAGACCAGAGACTATACGAATTTTTTTCTGTACATAATTACTAGGTTTATTGTTATGCATTCCTATAACCGGCTGAATTAGGAGATTGACTATACAACCGTACGTCTGGACCTTTGTAAAAAAAATATTGAGATACGCCGTTACAGAAATTCAAGATCATTTGTTTGGCATTGCCTTTAGTCTTGATTTAAAATCCTATAAATCAGTATATAGTTTTGACAAGGAATTAATTAAAATGAAACATCTCTTCTCTCAATTTGCATTTATAACACCGTTGATTTCCTTGTATCACTTAAGAAATAGTAATGAGCATTCAAGATCAGTATATTTTACCACTAGCATAATCAAGTGTTAAGTTCTACCAAATCTTTTATAAACAAGGCTTCCCTACGCCTATTACTCATCTTGATGGATCATAGGCCACCCACCAGCATTCTCCATCTCGGGCAATCCTTTCCGGTTGTTTACAGTTCTTATTCATCATTTCGTGTCTGCTTACAATTCATGACGCAGCATGTTCCTTGGTCTCCCTCTTTTCATTTCCTATTCAGGATTTCAAGTTAGCACTTGACCCGCGACACAGTTTGTCGATTTGCGTAATGCACATTCTATCCACCTCAAGCGTCTCTTCCTAATTTCCCCCTCATCTGCAACCTGGTTCGTTCTCTCCCATAGTGGGTTGTTGTTGATATTATCTAAGCAGCAGAGACTGATTACCTTGCGTAGATAATTGTTCATGAATACTTGTACATTTTTGATGATGCTTGTAATAGTTATCCAAGTTCCAGCTCCGTACAGTATAACTGTCTTGATCTTCGTATTGAAGATTGTGACTTTGATATTGGCTGACAGTTGTTCTGAGTTCCACATGCTTTTGAATTGTGAGAATTCTGTCGTTGTTTTGACAATACTTGCCTCTATGTCTGCGTCAGATTCTCCACGTTCATCGATGATGATACCCAGATACGTGAATCTTTCTACATCTTCTAGAAATCCTCCATCAGTTTCCAAGCGTCTAACTAAACATGTAAACCAATATAATATTGAAGAAAGCCACTAATAATAATAATATTGAATTATAAGTTTTTGTTGTACGACTATCTTATCAAAACGTGTGTATTTCACTTCAATTCCGGATAAAATAAAGTTATCAGAATAAAAATAGCTCAAAACACTTAAATACAACACATGAATGTTTACTAGTTTTTGGATCAATAAAATAAACGTGTTGAAATCTTCATGATTTATGGATATTTCATTCCATCTTTGTAACATGTTAAATTGATCGAAACTAGGAAAATGTCTAGATGTACTGGAGATATATATTTGTTTAAAAAAATGTAATAATTCAGTAATAAAATAATACACTACAAAGAAATTCAATTATTCTATTGTCTTCGAGTGAATCACTTTAAATCTTCTAATCTAATGTCTTATCAATTAAGCTTTTAAAAAATGTCAAAGTTAATCATGAGTATACTTTAATTCAAT